CGCAGGCTCCGGCTCCGGCGCCAGCCCCACCGGGGCCCGGCCCGGCCCTCACCCGCCTCACACTCACCCCGCGACGCCGGCACTGTCTGGGCTTGGACACGTTCTTCGTCACCTTGTAGCCCTTGTTGAGGCCCACGGCCATGGGGTAGCGGATCGCCATGCCTACGGGGAGAGCGCAGTCAGCCCCGTCACCGATGGACGCGGATTCCCATTCCCGGCCCCCGCCCCGGCACTCACCTACCGCCCCGCTGATGGCACCGCACCGGAAGAAGGGTGAGCGCGCGGAACGCTGGGACAGCGCCTCTTCCGGCCGCCCGAGCGGCGCCGGGGGCGCTCTGCCCGCGCCGTCAGCATGGCGGGGGGGGGACGGACGGATGGGGACGATGACGACACAGAGTCTCGTTGGACCCTGTCATCCAGCTCACGGCCCAAAGTCAAGCAGTGAGGAATGTGCCTCCCTTAGATCGTGAGACAGGTCTCGCTCTAATGCTTTTCTCCACAGGAAGGCAGAACATGGACAGATATCTGCAGGGCGAAGGTGACTGTCCTATCCCCAACCTGCTTCGGTCTAACATTTCTGAAAGTCAAGCAAAAAAAAAAAAAAAGAAAATTAGGAATGCCAGATTTGTTATCTGCACCTCTAAAATCAAACTGGGTTTGATATCATCCTTTCTAATGAGAACAATCATATGGGGCAGCTAAAGGCCCACCCAGCCACAGGCTCCGGGTTTCTTTCAGGAGGAGCTGCCACACCCCGGGCTGGAGGAGTTGTCACCGCTGGGGAAGGAGGTGTCGCCGCTCCTCGCACTACCGTCATACCTGGAGCTAGCTGAAGGCGGCTGCTTACAGCAGCTCTGGGTGTGGAGAAGAAGGTGATCCTACCTGCTGTGTCTCTGACCACCATCGGGCATGGTGGCCCTTAAATAAACACTTGCCCAGAGGAGGCAGCTGCTGCTTTCTGCTGCCTGTCCTGCCAGCATCAGCCAGCCAGCAGAGTGGGCTTTGGACACGGGGCTCTTCCCCAACTCACCGTGCCTGCTGCTCTGTTCCACTGGTGACACCTTCTCCATTCACTGTGCAAAGACATAGTTGTACAGTTCCCACACTCTCCTCATTTTACCTTCTTATTCCTCATTGACCCCCCGCAAGCCACTGCCTTACCCCCAAGAAAAGGTTCTTTCAGACCCTTTGCCTCCTATCATTGCTTTCACAAGTCCCCACTAGTTTTTCAGTTTCCAGAAGCTTTTGCCCCATTCCAACAACAGTAAATGCCTTCTCCCACACTCGCAGCATTTCTGATTTTCTGATCAACCAGTGGAGAAGAACAAGTATAAGAAAGATCCATCCCAATATGCCAGAAGTCAAGCAAGTACAGCTGGAGGCCAGACTGGCTGAACAGGGAATTCTGGATTGAGTTTAAATGCAAAAATGAAGAGCATGGAAGATGGAAGCAGCATGGAGTTACCCAAGAGATGTACATAAGCATTGCCTGGACATGCAGGGACAGAACTGAAAAAAACAGAGTTCATCTGGACTTGGCTGAAGACCAAGGGAAAAAGGAAAAGTTCAGCATGTGAACACCTTGCCCTTCTCCAATCTGCTCCAGGGAGGCATTCTCTGCCACAGAACAGATAAGGTTTATCTTAGTGTCCCTCCTCTTTTTCAAGTATAGAATCAGCACAATCCATGATCCACCTCATGGAGGCGCAGGATGCACAGCTGAATGATGCTGCCTTGGATGCCATCATCTTCTGAACCTGAAGCTTATCCTGCTTACTGCAGAGGCACAAGCCTTCAAGGCAGGCAGCCAAGTCAGGTCCAACATCATCTCCACCTGCCCATTTCACTGCATCCCTCTTTCAGCCAGCCCCTGCATGCTCTCATAGCCAAAAAGCCACACACACTTTCTGAGACCCACCACTGGCAACCATGGAAAGGCAGAGCTCCCTTCCTTCCTGCTGCGGAAACCAGCATTCCCAGAGGGTTGCTGTGGAACCTATGCCCACCAGCAAGCTGTTGTGTAACATGGGATTAAATATTCTGACGCAGAAGTGTTCCCATAGCTAGCACAATGGTGGAGGCCCTTTACCCAGTAATTCCAAGCATGAACTTGGTTGCCTCCCAAGAAGTAAGGAGGACAGTCAGGAACCTGTAGCCTGCTGCTGTCCAGCAGCACTTCATCTTCCTGTCTTACTCTGCCTTGGCCAAGGCCTTACAAGATGCAGGTGTTTGCATTTGCCAAGATTCAGCCATGGTTTTTTGCCACCTCTTCTAGCAAGCAGCATGGGTCACCCTGTGAGCCAGCAGACCCAGGGAGGCTATTTGGGTGAGCATCGGGAGCGCAAGCAGGAGACAGGCTCAGCCTCATGCCTAAATCCAGGCTACTTTAAATTCAGAGGCTACTGTCTTGTGTTCATTAACAAAAGGATGCATAGCACCAGTATGAAAGCACGTCAGTGCCATTTCCATAGGTAGCCAGAGGCCTCACCTTTGAGCTGAGACCTCGTTGCTCTCAGTTCATTGGTTTCTTCTTGAAGTGCCCCTTCCCCACTGAAGACTTCTGGATGTCAAAGACCTGAAAGCCCCATTCACTTTTCCAAGGCTCAGGGCTGTTTGGTTCTACACTGAGGTCGCTCTGTGCTCCATCAGCGCAACTTCAGATGTTCACGCAGGGTGTTTCCCCAAGTGATGGAGCTTCACTGTCTTCCAGGAAATAATTACAACAGCAACCAGCAGAAGTCCCTGCACAGGGTTCATCATACGCAGTATTTCTGCAACTGAGGCACTCTGAGTCAGGGATGGAAATACCACCATGCACCAAGACAGAACAGAGCTCTGAAAAGAGGATGTGGGGACAGCAGAAGTGATAGCATCTCTCTCTGCCAGCTAAGAAGTGGCTGTGCTTGTCAGATGCAGAAACTTGTGATGATGAGCAAGGCCCTCCCCCCC